CTACGCGATCGTCCTCCGTGTGGTCTTTTTCCCGAACTTTGAAAACATGTTTTAAAACATCGCTCGCGTTATAAAACAACGCGATTATACTGTAGCCAGTGGCTACACGTAATGTTGAATGGTCAAGGAACCTTCCAGTTTGTTGTATTTTAGTGTAGGATGCAGGCACGTGGCCAGAATTTTGATTCAAAAGGGGGGAGGGGGAGGTGTCGCCCATGACAAATTGCTGTATGAGAGGAGAGGAGACCCTAGCGAGATGGAAGATTTCGGGGGGGTGGAGGGAAGGGCTCCATGGGCCCCCCTTCCTCTGGATACGTGCCTGGTAGGGTGTATATTTCGCAAAAGCAAAGCAAGAAGCATGATCCAGCCGAGACTTGGCGTCTGTAAGGTCGCTTTCCCGCACGAAGTTCGGATCTAGCTCGGTGCACGTGACCACTTCTCCGCCAATACGTAGTTGGTTGCGCAAGCAAAAGGAAGGCGGTACCGATACTCTGGCTCTGCAAGCAGAGCCTATACACCAACTTATGTTTACAAACAAACCGGAGCGCCCGGAGCGCCCCTAACGGACACCACCGGCGCCACGCATGCGCGATGAGGGTGTGGGCAAGAAGCTCGCCGTCGTCCATAAACAAACCATTGAAATGCGATGTTGTCGGCGTCGGTGTGAGTCCCCGCGCTCTTTTTCGCGTTCGAATTGTTGATTCTACGTCCTCCTAACGATGTCTGACTACTTGAGCGGCGTCAGCGAAATTAACGAGGCTCGTTACACCGCAAAACTTAGCCTGAATAATCTGACATGCGGCGATTCATTCCGCGTGGACGCCGCAGAATGTACGCTAAAGCCTGATTCACATGATTAGATTTCGCTCGCAATTTTCAGTAGCGACGTCGCTCGGACTGCAAAAGCGTGAACCGTAGCTGAGATGGTCGACGTCGATACTGAAAATCGCAAGCAGAATCTAACCAAGTGAATCAGGCATAACCAGTCGGTGATGGCCACTGGTAACAATGATCAACATCTCCTTGTATCTACTGTTTACATCGAGCCTGCTTACCAACCTTCAAATTTAAGTCTTTTGAGGCCTGCACTTACTTCTGATCGCAAGTACCGGGCCCACGTTCGGTCTACAGGCCGGTGTCCTCTAACGTTTGGTCTACGGGACGGTTTCCTCTAAAAGAGCAGACGACAAGCAGAAACGTCTGAAAGGGCAGACGACAGTGCGAACAATCAGGCGACCGTTTGAACTTGAAGACGCACTGAACGTAGTCCGCAGGTGGTCCGCACAACTTGACGGTTTTCCGGCGTTCATTTTGGAACAAAACAGATAAATCTGATGGCCAGAAGTATCCGTGAATTCAACCCAAAATGCTTCCCGCCCAAGCAATCGTGGTCCGACGGCGTCTGGTTTTCCCTTTTTACGGCACATATCCACGTTCTCGGACGAACCGAGTGCATGAAAACTGACCTTCAAACCTTTCTCGACCCTTTTGGTACCGCCTCAGTCGTACCATTTTGACAAGAAGGCAGGTTTCTGTCTGATTCCTTTCAAAACAACGCAGGAATACTCGTCTCACATGGGCACTTTCGCCCACAGCCCCGGACCGAAAGTGCGTCCGACATGCCACCACCGCGCCGTGACGTAACAGAGATGAGTTCGTGTATACAGTTACTCTTACTGGACGTAACATCCCTACGCGCCGAGCGAAAAAGAAAGCTTTTATTCGAGTTTTTGGTTCCGCGGTATATTTGCCGGAATTAAGTTGTTGGGGTTTTTAGTTCAATTTCACAATGCAGAAGGTGTCACGCCATAAATATTATTAATTATAACCGTCAAATGCTGCTACAGAAATAACGTACCTGCGCCTACTATGGTTTCCCTACGGAAAAATCCGGTATATTTTTTCACTATACGGATTATGGAACCGGAAATTTGTTTCTGGAAACCTGAATCCAGATTGCAGACAAAGGAATTATTTCTGAAAACCTAAATTCCAGATAGAGTACAGATAGAATTCAGATTGATTTCCGGTTTCATAATCCGGATAGCGAAAAGTTATACCGGATTTTTCGGTAGGGTTATGTTTCGTGCAACGTCTGCTTTCGCAGTTTGACGTTCGCGCTTTTGCCTCAATGCGTTAACTTCGTTTATCATCGCTGTTTTTTTCTCTTCTTTATTCTCCTCTGCGACGCCTCGCCATGCAACAACTGAGTTCCAAGGAGAGTTTCCAGGTGTTTTTTTGTTATACACAGACAAAAATCCTGAAGGAAGTGCGAACGAAGTGCGGGGCCGCCTGCAACAGAATACCGCCCTTTCGGCCCACTATCACCAAGTGAGTGACAAGGCTTTCTCAAGACGGAAACATGAAAAACCGACCTCCGAGCCGTCTAGAATCGTCGCCGAAACAAAGACAGCAGCAAGCCGTTCTCGACGCTTTCGAAGCGGAGCCCCACCTCTCGATCAGGCATAGTGCTTGTCAGCTCAACGTATGCCGGGGCTTCGTGTGGCAGGTGCTTCGCCGGCGAATGTACCCGTTCAAAACGCAGCTCTTGCACAAATTGAAGCCGGGGGACTACGCACGGCGAGTGCAGTTTTGTGAGGACGAGCTGATGCGGATTCAGGCCAACTCCAGCCACCTGCATTTCCTCCTGTTCACGGACGTATCTGTTATCCGTCTCGACGGCCGCGTCAACAAGCAGAGCTCCAGGTTCTGGCCTGGCACGAACCCGCGCTGGTCGGCCGAACATGCTTTTCAGTCGTCGAAAGTCGTCGTCTGGTGTGACGTATTGCGAGAGGGTGTCGTCGGCCCGTTCTTTTTTAGACTCGACGGTGACGGGTGACTCGTGCCTCAAGATGCTGGAGGAAGAGATCTTACCAGAGCTGGAAAATGCGCGTATGCAACGTGCAGTTGGCATATTCCAACAGGATGGGCCCCTTCTAAACTATTCAACCCACGTGAAAGCCTGGCTCAACCGCAAGTTTCCCGGGAGATGGATGGGCCGTGGCTTTCTGAACTTGGCTTGGCCTCCTCGGTCTCCAGACCTCACCCCTTGCAATGTTTTTTTTTTTTTTTTTTTTTTTTGTCTGGGAATAGGGGTAGGCCTAAGTGTGCGCCCGGCGATCGAGGACCATCCTGGAACTCAAAGAACTTATCATCGACGCGTTCGAGACCATCAGTGTTGAAATGCGGGAGGCGGTCTTAGAGGGCTACGACAGGAAGCCTGAAAGGTGTATTAAAGTTCGCGGCGGGCACATCGAGCTGGGAGACTAGCTGTCTGTTTTTCTTCTTGCGAGTGTATGTGTCTGCGAATGAGATATTTTACCGCAACTACGAACACCCTAGTTCAGATTTCAACGAATCTTTGCAGAGCCACCAAATCGCTGCTTTTTTGGGCGCACTCCTGACTGCCTCTCAACGCCTCATTCAAACGTCAAACGGCGATAGCAGACGCTGCACGAAGCAGGAACCGTCGCAGACGAAGGTACGTTTTTCTGGAGCAGCATTTGGCAGTTTCATTTATTCATATTTATGGCGTCACACTTACTGCATTCCCCATCCTTAAAAAAATATTTTTATTTTTTGCCAGGCGATTTATTATGGTGTCAGAACACTACCCAATCAATATTTTTCTAGAGTGCCACGTACATTTTTAATTAAAAAAAAACGCAACTGCTCCAAACCGAAACAAAAACTGGACTGTAGAGGAAGAAGAAATATAGAAGAGGAGAAGGATACCGAAAGTTACGGGGCTGTGAAACCTTTTTCTTTTTTAATAAACGTATTTGCAGTTTTTCAGAAGCCACAAAAAGGGATATAATATTTTTTTCCACTTCTAGTATTTGGTGTGTGCCTTCGATGGACCCACGGCTTTGATTATCTTTGGTAATTGTGCCTAAACCATAGTAAACGGCACGTGACAACGGAGAATAGGGTGAGCGTGACTCAAATAGGCTAGTTCTCGATCGGCGGTTTTAGGGAGGAAAGAAAACAAATTTCGAGCCTCAAATTGTGTTCTGCGTAGTTGGGCTCTCATATGTCATGTACAAATTAAAAAAAAGGAGAGTACAAATACTCTGTCAGTGTCCCTTTATTGAAAATCCAAAGAACGTTATTTTGGCAAATACCACGCGGAACCGAAAATTCAGACAATGCGCGCCTCTTCGCTCGGAGCGTCCTGTCAGCGTCCAGGAACTTTTCTAGAACAAATCAGTTGGGAAACTGCCACAGAGTCTGCTTGGAAAAAGTGACTTCAATCCGTACTCAAGAACCGAACTGATGGAGATCGCAACGCTGCCATTCTTCCGCAGCAAGCGGCCACTCCAGGAACTGCACGTCTGCGCATATCGGTGCAGGTCGAGTCGCGCAATGGCGACTGGCGAAATCTCGCAGTGCTGTTTTGCAGGAGCAATATAAATGAACAAATCTGTTTTTATTTTCTTATTTTTTTGTACTCACAGTTACGACTGGAAATTTTTGGACAACAATGGTACCAGTTAAACACATTTTCGTGAAAGGCTGCTACAAGATCCCTCGAAATTTTGATTTTTGCAAACCATTTTATCATTTAGTTTTTTATTTCTGTTGTGGCGCCCTGTATGTGTTAATAAAGCGGTACAGTTGAAAGCAAATGAACGGCGAAACCAAGAAAGAAGAGGAGACGAGAGCGCACAAGGACGTCAGAACGCCGAGCTCTGGTTCGGATGATTAGTGGGTAGACCTAAAGCTAGCTGCCCTTGTCTCTACTGTACTCGCCGAGCGCGTTCGAATGCGATAGCCACACGCCGATCGCTGGCGTTCCCCGTTCTGCGAGATTTAGGCCTACCCACTAATCTTTCCAATCAGAGCTCGCGGCGTTCTGACGTACCTGCGCGCTCTCGTCTCCTTCTCGCCCTCACTTTCTAGGGGCATAGGACGTCGTAGTCCTCACATCATTTTAAAAATAAGGTATTGAACTTTAAGGGGACGAAAATATCGCCTAAAATGTAACTAATAGAACTCACCTTTCATCATTTCGAGAGTTATATTCGAACCCGTTGAGTTTTTGTCAGCCACTACGACTGTCACGCCCTCACGAGCCAGAACTAGGCAAACGCTCCTGCCGATTCCACTTGCTCCGCCTGTGACGATCGCCAGTCTGCCGTGTAGTCCAAGCGAGGAATTTCCTGCTATAATGTCGGGCATATTCGCAGGTGATGTTTCATCATATACGGCAAATTCTGGCGCATTATGATTTTCATAGCATTCATCCAAGTTTTCTGTTGCGCACGATGAGAGGTACCTTGTCAGAACGACCCAAAATGCCAAGCAGTGGGCAGAACGCCTAAGAATTAACATCATGAAGTGTAGGAGCGCACTTTCTAAACCAGATGCGTTTTGATGCTGCGTTGATATATAAACCGGAAATAAGGCGTGAAACTTACAACATCAGCCCTTCAATGACGCACATATGAAGCAATATCGCCATGTGCCAAGTCCGTGACCTATGGAATTGAGCGAGACCGCTCCTATCTTAGGAGAAAAAAAAGCAAACCAGTAAGATGAAAAATGCCAGGTTTACATTGATGTTTCGACTTTTCTGCGTCGTATCTTCATACTCTAAGCCTTAATAAGAATGAAGACCCACCGAGTGTTAAGAATGCTTATATTTTGATCGTTGCTTATGCCGATATGGCGCCGAGTAACTGATTTTGATTGTAGATCAGCAGATCCCTAGGTGGTAGAGATGATGCCGGAGCCCTCGGTTGATACGTGCCAAACCTTCTTTGGTTTCGCAAATTAAGTCAGCAGATTGTTTTTTTACTGCATTCTTTTAGTGTTTACAGGCGGTCCGTGACGCTATCCCGCCTTCGGAGTAAACATCCTACACTCTTAGAAAAATGGGTCTCTATAGTCCTTCCCAAAGGGAGGATCTATCACACAAGTTCCTTCAACAAGGGAGAAACGTTCGTCCTGAAAGCAGGTGAGCCACGTTTCTCCGTCGCATGTATCTTATTATTGCGGGCCCTAGTCGAACAAACCGAGCTCAGTAAGGCTTAACGAGGATGCTACGTCTATTGGACGGGGTGAAAGAGGAGCAGCAAATAAAAGCGTAACACGAGCTTTCCACGGATTGTTTTATTTTCGAAGCCTGCTCCCTCCCAATGGTAAAGAAACTTGTGTTTTGTAAGCAGTCATTCAGTCTTCTCGTATTCATCACTGCGATGTTAAACGGAAACAACCGATACTCAGTCACTTCGCCCACTTCACGTCTTACCTTTAGTGCTCTTCGAGCCACAATTCCTTCGTCAACCGCAACTCACGGAGGAACAGGTAAGCCACTTGCAAAATTAAAAGCCGCTCTCAAAAGAGAAAATCGAAGCAGCCTACTTGTTTCATTGTTGCACGGTAACCAGAAATTATCGCGAAGCGTGAAACAAATATCACCTACCACCAGACGGCAGGGTCAAGCAGAGTAATTGCAAATAGCTAGGCTAGGTGGCGCTAGGTACCGCCCACTTCCTGTACTACGAAACTATTTTTATTTCTCGTACCACCATTACACTTCGGGCACCTAATTATACAAACACGTGGATACATTACGCATTACGCATACTACACGCATCAGCTGAACATATACATTGAGCGCATACACAAACACGTCAGATACATTTGTTTTTTCTAACCGGATTACAACTTCGGATCTCTGCGTTTCCGGCTTTTATACTCGTCGTTTTGAATGTACGCAATTTCTTGGTGAACACCTAAGCAACAAATAATATACCCAGCAAGTTGATTTTTCCCAGTAATATCATATCTCTGAGTATTTTGAACGGCTCAGGGGATGAATATCTTACTAAAACGTAAACGCTCATGCCATAATTATTCGAAAGCGAATAGATTAAGCCGCTCCACTACGGTTCGGAGCCATGTATTTGCTTCCCCGCACGAAACGTCGTAGCAAGTTTTTCTATTTGTGTTGTTCGCGTGCTGCTGCAATTGTCGTCTTGAATTAATCTCTATAGACTCTGCTGGAAGCGATGGTTCAAGGGCAGGGAAATCGCTTTTTGATCAACTTGAATGTAGCCGTGACTTGCGGTATGTGTTAAGTGTACGAAGCTACGCCGTGCTGAGCTCCAATACTTCTAGCGCTCATCCCAGCGTGCCACGTGGAGGGCAGTTTCTCTAGGAATCGTAGAATCTTGAAACAGCAAAATAAAGAATGGCTTTGTTTTTGACGATTTTACCTACCATCTTTACTCAATGCTAAAATTCTAAACTAAATATACGCACATTCCGTCATATTTCCTTACTTTTCAGTCCACTCCCCAAAGCGCAATCTCTCTCGGGTTGGAGGAAACAGGACTCTGCAGACGGCAGTCACATTGGCAACTGTGCGATAGGAGCTACGGTTCAGACCAGCGTTCAAACATGACTATCCGCACGTCGATCGATTGCACCATAACCTCTCAAGCGGTCGTGAAGCTCTTTAATGGAAAGCGGAATGTAAAGCTGCGGCACCCCGCCCCCTCCGATCACGGCCCGACCAGCGGCATCAATGCCAGACAGGTTACGTCGTCTCATCTTGTCGTTACACCACTGATACGCGAACATACAGTCACGTCGGCGATAATTCAAGTTTTTCGTTCACAACGCACACCACTGCCATCGCGATGTTGCTGCTATGTTGCTGACACGCAGAAATACAGAACCACGTAGATTGCTGGTTGGCACTCGTCATCGGTAAACAGAACTGAACTCGGCACAGAAGGTAGTAAGGCACCCGACAACGACAACAACAAATGAATAGAGGAGACTTAGAAGAAAATACAATTAAACCAAGAAAAAAGAAAACGGTACTGCACCTCCACCCGCACCACAAAGGCAAAACCTGCCTTTCTTGGTCACAAATACCGCTGTTTCGATAACGTCGTGAACGTTAAAACATCGTCGTTCCGAAATCAGGAGTCGGCCATTTTAGTCCAGTTAGCGTATCGCTGCTGGCACTGCTCCGGAACGTTGATGTTTTTAGCGGCTTCGTTTGCTTGTATGATAAAATTAGTGGTAGAAAATCAGTGCAACCGAAATGTTCTGCACGTTTGGACAGGAAGACGGAACTACAGGTGGGCTTCGCTGCCTCTGAAGCTCAATCGACTCAGCAACATTTATTAAACAACATAAGCGACGTGCTCGAAGAACGAAACCGAAAGAAGATGAGGCTGGAGGTAGACCTCCAAGTAGACCTTTCTCTAGTCTACCTGGAGAAGAAGGAAAATGTCTCATTCCTCCTTTGCTCTCGTGTCCGTTTTGGGGCGCGTCAGTGAAAGGGAGGAAATCGCGCCGTTCTACATTGTTTCTCCTTTTTTCTTAGAGTGTATATACACCAACACACTCTTCACGAACGGGCCCGCTTCTGCCCACACCAGGTATGGGCTTGGCGCGTGCGCAGAAACCAGATCTCGGAAAGTGAAGCGTTTGCGCATGCGTGGTACCGACAGCTGCGCCACCTAGGTTGTGTGACGTCAGAAAATTTACCCTTCTCTCTCTCTTTTCCCTCCCGGTAGACGACGCCATTTTCGAGCGTGGCCTTGCAACACCTTCTAAAGAACAAGGCCTCAGTACGGATTTATCCACGTCTCCCAAAGAGGCCAACGCGGTTCAAGGATTTGACACGAGTGCGGCTTTGGCGTTCGGCGGAGGCTCGTCTCCAATCATTGACGACACGAGTCTCATCGAAGCACCGACGCAGTACTCGCCTCTTTCCCTTCCCGACGTTCTAAGAATGACATTTGTCTGGCGGGAGGGAAACGACAAATATTTGAAGGCGAGGATGTTGGCTAGGTGGAAAGCCGACTACAATGATTCGCGTTACTTTCAGTACAGAGGTGCTTTATTTCAACGCGGTGGCCTTTTCCAGAAAATATGAAGAATAACATGTGTTGAATATCCTCCTTGCATTTGCAGCACAACCCATGGAAAGTCATCACAGTATAGCACCACCAATTCTGCGTCTCCCTGACGGTGGTGACGCCCAGAATCGTTAGTTGTACGATGCCAATTCTTCAAGGCTTAGGTGCGCCAAATATTATTTCGAATAGACCGATCTCACTAAACGTTCCAGCATGCGTGACGCTGCCATAACTGTAGTCATAGCCTCCTCTAGACACACAAAGCCTGGCAGATCGCCACGAAAAGCGGCCGCCGAAATAGAAAAAGTGGAGCGGCAGACAACGGATGAGAGGAGAGCCACGTGACTGGCGCCCCGCTGCGGTGAGACGCCGAAACACACTTCTGCCGAGCGATGAAATGTCCGCTCGTGCTCCTCGCGTTCCTCGCGCTACCGCTTGTTTTCTCGTCGGGTTTGAAAACCATGTTTCGGGTCCTCGCCGCTGCAAAAGCTGTGCGCTGACGTCCAGGTTCCCCGAGAAATGCTATGTGCTACCAGATCCTCGCGCTCCAAATATGCGACCGGGCACTTTATGGCTCTGTCGTCGAACTGGCAGGTTTTGTGAGAATAGAGGAGGCTATGCTGTAGTTCTCAGGGGACAAGTTCCAGGGCACGACATGGCTCGTGCCGCCTCGTGCTCGGCTCGCGCAGAGCTTCAGCGGGGTTGTCGCGCGTGCGGAAAGCCTGCAGTTCCCATGATCCATGCCGGCAGTGGCGGCGTAACAAAATTAACTGGCGAGATCGGTCTGTTAGAATCTTAGCTTCCGCCCGAACGATGGCACCATTTGGGCTCGCACTATTTTATTGTAGTTTTACATTGATATCGCCAGCTTTCGGCAACAGGTACTGGGCGGTTTCAGGTAACGTAGAAAAAAAAAAGTGGCTCGTCTACACTTTTAATCTTGATGTGTTTAAGTACTGGTATTGTTGTAGGCTTCACAAAATTAAAAAAAAATGCTGTGAAAGCTACACTAATGCGGTTTGTGCAGGTGACCTATGCGTCCAGGGGGGACTTAGTATAGCAGGATAATGAGCGCCACAATAAGTCGGTAAAATAGGTAAAACTTGCTTTTTTAGTTTTAAAATATTGAAGATAGATATATGGTTCCAATCAAAAACTTGTTTAACGTCATTGAAAACAGCGATCTCAGCAGTTCGCGTCGATCTAGGGAAAGCTAGGGAATTACGCGCAGGCAACAACAGAATTGCTGAGGTAGTTTCCCCGTCTGAAGCGTTCCTCAGGAGACAATTCGCACGCGTAAAGCAGGCAGGGTATAGGAGTAACATTGTGGACGGGGTCGCAAGGAAATACATAGAGAGATTCGGAGATGTGGTGAGGAAAGAAAGGGAGAAAGCACACAAAGCCGCGAGCATTCCATTTTCCCATACTTTTCCATACAACCTGTTGGCGGTGGCTGGGAGGTTTCGAGTTGGGGTGGTTTTCTCTTCGGACTTTAGGTTGAACAGGCTTCTGCCGTTTCTGGGTGGAGCGCAGGGTTGTCAAAAACTGCACACGGAAGCCGCCGTTGGCTGCCAGGTTGGAGTAGTGTATGATATCCCCATGGCCTGAGGGTTTTCGTACGCGGGGCAGACGAGAAGGTGCCCACATCACAGACTTTTTGAGCAGATGAGGGCGGTCAAGAACATATCTCCGAATTTTCGGATAGCTGAACATATGCAGGGATGCAATAATTGTTTGCCTGATTTGGGGAAAACTGTGGTGTAAAGCAGAGAAAAAATTAAACACGTTTACAATTTTCTGTAATGCTGAATTACAGCGCAGCTCTTGAGGAGGAGGAGGGGAGGGTATCCCCCTCCTTTACCCCGTACCCTCCCCTCCTCATTTCCTGCTCCCCTGCCATTTAGCGGGAAATTTGGTAAAACTTTCCAACTAAATTTAGCGAGAAATTTCCCGCTAAATTTAGCGGAAAAACGTTTCCGCTAAAGCTAACGGGAAAATTTTCCCGTTAAATTTAGCGGAAAAGTTTCCCCGCCACATTTAGCGGGTAAATTTTCCCCTAAATGCAGCTGGGGAATTTTTCTGTTATATTTAGCGGGAAAATTTTTCTGCTAAATTTAACTGGAAGTTATTTCGTAAAATTTAACGGTAAAGTTTTCCCGCTAAACTTAGCAAGGAAATTTTTCTGAAAAATGTAGCGGAAAAATGTTTTTGCTAAATGTAGCCGGGAAAGTTTTCCGCTAAGTTTGGCGGTCAAATTTTCCGCAAATTTTGGCGGGGAAACTTTTGCGCTAAATTTAGCGGGGAAACATTTCCGCTAAATGTAGTGGGGAAATTTTCCGGCTACATCTAGCAGGGAATTTTTTCCGCTAAATTTAAGAGAGACATTTTTCCGCTAAATTTAGCAGGGAAAATTTCCCCGAATGAAACGCACGGTTACGTTTGGTTGCATTATCCCCATAATGCAACGCTCGCGGTTACGCCGACGGCGACGCCGCTCAAGCCGGAAACGGAGGCCTAAGAGCTGCGCTCTAAAAGATTGTGCAAAAAGCGTCTTGAAGGGGACAATCAGAATAGTGTCCGTAAGAAATCGTGTCCGTCAACCGTCGATAACACTAGATGGAGCGACCCGAAATTTTTTGTTGTTGCAATAGTTTTTCTTTTAGCTTTCAGGGTTGGGTTTGTTTTTTTGCTGTGTCAGGCGGCAGTCAACGGATTCATGAGGGTGCGCTTTGGGAAGGTTGCTTTGTTTTTGAAGCGTTGCGTGTACCATTGTTTTGCACAAGGGGAGGCCTCTACCGTGGTTGAATGTCACAAAGACGTTTGCAAATTCCTTGAGACCTGTGTTGCGTGGGGCATGTGGTTCTTCTTTTTAAATTGAGATCACGACCCCTTGTACCGTTGCGGAAGGTCATAAAGACGAGTCCAAATTCCAGGAAGCGCGTGTGTGAGAGATGGTACATAAACGATTGTGTGAATAATGTTTAGTAGCGGCGTTTGAGACATTTTCTGTTAATCTCATCTTTGTTCGTCGTATCCGGTTTTTTCAAGTATGTGTAAACATAAGTCCTTGAATTTATTGTTGTCAAAATGACCAATTAAGAAGCAGCAGGCGAAGCCGATTAGCTTTTGCGATCGTGAGCAGAACCGCGGTTCACATTTGTTCCACTAAGATCCTAGACGTAATAATGTTAGCACTTTCAATATATCATTTAAATATCACGTATGTGGCACACGTGAGAGAAGACGTGGCGAGGAAGGTGAGAAACGCGAGCGACACGGGAGGATAGCTTGGGAAAGCGACGGAGCCGACGTCAAGCCCCCTCTTCTTTTTCATATCTTACTGGGTGTGTCTGCCTGGGAGTGTGCGGAGTGTATCCTTTCAATATATTATTTCTAAGTGCCCTTTACGTCGTTCCGCGTGTATACGTGGCTTTGATGCGCACGCGCTTTCTAAAGTAGTCAGCAATTTTTTTGTTTTTTTATATAAGGATCTCAAGGGGTGCGGGCCGTGCGGCCAACAAGAAATTTCCGCTAAGAAAGAATATTTGCTCTTAGAACCTGTGTTTTAAAACGCGTCTACTAAATTTTGAGAAACACACCCACCTTTCGCATTTTAAGTTTCCGGATTCTTTTTGGAATGAGTGTGCAAACTGCTTCGATTCATTGAAGTTAAACACACACAAAAATATGAGACTTTTGAATAGGTTGCCCCAACTCTTTCGGTCTGCCGAGCAGCTGAAGAAACCAGACTACCAGCACTGGAGCCTAACTCTTGCACTTTGTTTTGACAATTCAGTCCCAAAGTTGTGACATGGAAACCCTACAAACGAGTGTGAAGCCCAACTCTTGCAATTGTTTGGCGATTTAGTCCCAAAAATGCCAGGTGACCGCCAAACTACCCGCAGTAAATCCTTACTACGACACTTGGTTGGCAAATTGGGGTCAAGGTACCCACAATCCGGCCAAAGGTAAAGTTTCCCTCTAACTTGGCATCTTCAGGCTTTTTGAGGCGGTAAATTCCCAGACAAGAATTGGCCCGGAAATTCTGCTATAAGGGGAGGAAAGTGCTAGCGATTTTTTTAAGTTACGGCAGCATACTCGTTTTTCGAGAAGGAGAAAAAAAGCATAATATCTTTATGGACGTTTCTATCGCTGATATATCTCTGCTGTGTCATTGGTTTATGGGAAAACAATTACTGTCGAATTCAATTGTAGGGATCAGCATATCTTAGGGGAGGCGTCGGACAGGCGCAGTCCTCCAGGGTTGCCATTAAGCACAAAGTAAAACAGTCCTTGATCTGCTTATTCTAGGTAGAAATGTGTCGAATTTATTTTGCATTTTCCCATGCCAGGCCTCGCTGAACTGCTGCCTTATCTCAAATGCCTTCTGTAAAATAAGTCTCAAGTCGATTATAGCGGATGGTCTCAGTGTGAAGTGTGTTGACAGTAAACATGACTTTCAGTCTTAGTCTCAGTACGAAGCATGTTGACTTCAAAGATTATCTCATTCTAAGTCTGAAGTGTGTTAACTGTGTAGCGGCTGGTAACCCAAACCAACGAGAAGACGACGAGCCCGTATAGGCGCTGGGGCAAACCACCGGCGCGCGACACAATGAGCTCGAGGCGCGCCACAAAACGATACCGTATCTCAACGGTGACAGACACCCATGTGTCTGTCACGAAATATGGGATACCACAACTGGTGACCCGGTCACAGGAACAACCGACTGCCCTACGATGGGTACCGAGGGTTCAAGTGGTCAACTTCCAAATCAAGTCCTAACTTCTGGTCAGCCGAACCTCGCGGCACTTGGATCGCGCCTTGCCCTTGGTGTCGCGTCGATGACCCTTGAAGGGGAACTCCGCCGATTTTTTCGTAGGCTTCGATTTGGCTGGAAATTTGCAGACCGCATTAATAGGCTTCAATTTAGTGACAGCGGCAGCAAGCTGACGACACGTTAGCACATACTTCTGCTCCTTTGTTCTGCAGATGCCTAACCTGGTGGCCCCCTGACTACACTCCGACGGAACATCCTTACAGGCCGTCATCCGACAAACTCAAGCTTCAAACGGAGGAATTCTATTTTTTCGTCGGCAAGGACCAAGTTCTTTCAACGCAGCAAAATGCGCCTGCAATATCAGCGACGCAAGGGGCACCGGTGGGCACCTACTGTTGCTGAAGGGCGTTTTCTTCGCATTTGGCGGCAGCGGGAGCAAGGTGACGACGCGTCAGCTCATACTTCTGCTCCTGTGTTTTGCAGGTTGGTTAATTTTTCTTTCTCACCTTTTTTATTACTATTAGTCTCTCTGCCGCTGCTGCCAAAGTGTGTTGCGTGAAGGTGTCCTGCCTTTTTTTGTGCATTTTGTCATGACGCGCTGTTGCGCATGCCGGCTATCTATTCCTAAGAATGAATCGTATATTAGCTGTTCTAAATGTAATTTCATGTTCCATCTTTTACTGCTCTAATGAAACCGAAGAAACACTGCAAGTAAAAGTTGGGGATTTCAGAAAAAAAAAACATGGAAGTGTGGACTGTGCGTAGGAGGCAAAAAAAAAAAAACGAACGAAGAGACAAAAACGCAGAAATTGGTAGTCGCCTTTTCTTTACTGTTGCTGGAAATAAGCAATAAGCTCGACACACATGACCTTACCCAGCGTCATTGTTGGACTCGAAAAATCTGTACAAGTACTTTTAGACACGTTTGATGACCTTCAAAGACTTTTACTTGCGCAGGAAAAGTCCACTAAAGACCTCGCTCAACGAGTAGACTTGCTGGAAATAGTTTCCTCTCCAAACGAACTCGCTCAGCTCCGGTTAGATTTGGATAACCTCGAAAGACAGAGCCGTCGTCTAAACATTGAAATCCATGGCATCCCAGAAACACAAAATAAAGTCCTGACGGGAAAGATGAATGAATCGGCAACAAAGCTGGATATTCCGCCTGTAAACCGAAGTGACATTGCAGCTCTGCATAGACTCCCATCAAAACCGGGTGAAACACGAGGCGTTATCGTTCGCTTTACATGTGAGAAGCTTCGCGATTCTTGGCTTCAAAAAAGGGAGTCACTTAAGAAAGAAAAAGGCAACGTGCATATTTGTGAAAACATGACTCGGCTCTCCCGCACTCTCCTGTCGATAACGAAGCAATGGGCTGCGAAATCAGGATACGCGTTTGTTTGGCATTTCGAATGGGAATGTGCTAATCCGAAAAAAGAACGGTGAACGAGCAATGATTATTCGCGGTAAGAATGACCTTGCCAGTCTTAAGTAACTCGTACGAAAGAACGTCTGTGTTTTGACATAATCTGGTTTAGTGAGACGTGGTTTACATCTGATGAGTATGTCCAGCTGGCTGGCTACGACTGTGCACGTGTCTGCGTACCGCTCAAGAAAGGCTAGTGGTGGTGTTGCCATTTATATTCGTTCAGAGCTATCATACAAAATAGTTCCTGAATACAAAACTATAGACGAGAACGTTGAGTCCGTTATGATTCGATGCTGTGATATTTTGTTTGCTCTCTTGTATCGTCCTCCATCTGGATCCGTAAATGATTTCCTGCATTTCTCAGAAACGCTGCCTTAACAGAGCAGAGAACTGAAGTTACAGGTTGTTCTTGTTGGTGATCTTAATATAAATGCTTCTACGGACAATGTATCATATTTGCGTTTTGAATAGATATTTGAATCTTATGGTTGCACAAACACACTAGCTGTACCAACTAGAATCACCTCGGCTTCTGAGACAACCTTGACACTGCATTACAAATCTCTCTATTGAGAATATGAGATTAGAAGTATTAACGTGTGATATCAGTGATCGTTTGCCAATATACTGTCTAATGGCTGTTAACCAGCTACGCAAGAATAAAGAAAAAAAGCTGGTTGGAGAGTGTTCGGAACGAAAATTCAGCATTTCAAAGATCTTACTTCCTGCCTAGATTGAAATAGTGTTTTGAGAGAAAATGATGCAAGCACAGCCTATAATGTTTTATTTTATTCTGCTTTGTGTCCGCGTATAACACCTCTTTTGACTTAGAGACACATAAACAGCATAGGAAAACTCGAAAACTATGGATATATCATGAATTATATGCAAGATTTAAAAACCGAAACAAGCTGTTTAAAATATTTCTAAAAACGAGAAGTGAAAGTGACCTTTGCATAGTTAGGAAACTTCAAAATAAACTAGACTCTGATATTAAAAAAGCAAAATGCGAATACTATATGAGCAAATTTTCAGAAGTTACGGGAGATCCCCGCATGATAGGGCAAAGAGTAAACGAGATAATTTCTAGAAATATCTCGGCAAGAAAGGTTGAATTTTACAATGAGGCGCTGACGGATGAACAGATAGCAAATCTGTTCAATGCGTATTTTGTGGCTGTTGGAGCTCCTTTAAATAACTGTGTAGAAATACCATGCGAGCAGTTCATTTCGACAAACTGTCTTAATTCGCTCTTTCTATATCCGACAGACCAATGTGAAATAATGGAATTAATTCTAGCACTAAATAATGATTGCGCCCTCGGGGCAGATGAGATTAAGCCTAAACCATTGAAAACCGTTGCGACACAATCAGTATTCCACTCGCGCACGTTTGTAACCTCATGATATCCACGGGTGTCTCTCCAGACAAAATGAAGCATGCACGTGTGACGGTTATACACAAAGGTGGCACAATTAGTGATTTAAACAACTATAGACCCATTTATGTACTTTCAGTCCTTCAAAGATAACAGAACATATTATAAATAAAAGACTTGTTAAGTTCTTTACTTTCAATAACATTTTAGTAAAAGAATAATTTGGTTTTCAGGAGAATAAATCACCAGAAGAGGCACTTCTTGGAATTAAAAAAACAAATTCTCGAGAACATAGAAGAAAAAATATACACGCTTGGTATATTTCTAGATCTCAAGAGGGCTTTTGTTTGCGTTAAGCATGTTATACTTTTACAGAAACTTCCGTTTTGCGAAAACCGCGGTATTTCCTTATCACTGTTTAAAAGTTACCTCACTACAAGAACGCAATATACAGTAGTAAATGGGTGAAGTCAAACATTCAGTACATAAAGTATGGGGTTCCTCAGTGGTCCGTTCTTGGGCCTATATTATTTTTGTTATATATTAAAAACAATGTTAACATACAGGCACTTCAAATATAGTCCTAAATGTAGATGACACAAACATTTTTTTCTGGCTTGGATATCTACAACCTCTTCGCAAAGGCAAAACAGTGGTTGCGGAGATTAGACTTATGACTTAGATCTAATCAACTTTATTTAAACATTAAAAAAAAGTACTTAATGTTCAGACCAAAAGGAATGATACCACCTTCCAATTTGCAATTAGAATTCCAGGACTCTTATATTCAACCATCTTTAACCATTCGATTCTTGGGGTTTTTATTCCATGAAAACCTATCATGGACGCCACATACTGATTCTTTAGGAGCAAGTCTTTGTCGACCTGTTGATGTCTTAAATAGATTAAGATATTATCTTCCAACAAAAGTGAAACAGCAAATTTATTTCGCCCTTGTGCAATCCCGCGTAAGCTACTGCCTTTTAGTGTGGTCAACTACATCCCAAACAAACCTAGACAATATTGTATCCATACAAAAGTGAGCATTGCGACCAATCGGTAACATACAACTTCTTAGAAGTGCCACACCATATTTTAAGGCATACCAAATACTCAACGTAAGAGATCTACATAAATACAAACTAACACTTCAAATTTGGCGGCAATTTCAGCTCGATAAATTAGTGTTCCATGTTAATTGTACCACGCGAAAGATAGCCCGTATAATTTAAGGCGACATTTATTAATAAATTCGTGTTCGCGAACGAATTATGGAGATCAGAAATTGAGTTTTTTTATGCCAGACCATTTAAACCATTACCCATATATTTTAGCTACATCGGATTGTGTACGATCACTCTATCAATATAAAAATATTGTAAAGAACATTTACTCACAGGGGAATAAAACCGGATGTGTTTTAAGCAAAATGCTTAGGATGAAAACTAGCAAATGTCTTTTCACGTTATGTTGTTTTGTGATGTATTTGCTTTGTTTTTTTTTATAGATTTTTAGTTTGGAGTGAAATGTATTGCTCCTCATTTGTTTCATGTTTTTCCTACCGTTGCTACCAAAAGGGTGGCATGGCCCCGTCAGGCATTTATGCCTTTAGTCATGTCCCATGAGACATATGTGTTCTGTCATGTCTTGAATATAGGTACAAACAAACAAACAAACAAACCCTTTGTCAAGTGATAACCAAAATATATATATATATATATATATATATACAAAATGAAAATTTTCTGTGAAGTTATTGAATTTTCAAGTAACGCCGGCCGGAAAAGTTCCAGGAGGTGACTCTCTACTGGCAACAATGAAAAATCCCTACTTTTCCCTACCCGCGTACGTCACGGGTGAGCAGGCGGACGAGCGACTCGGGCAGCCGCGAAGTGGCTTTCCGGGTGCCAGCGATCGAGATTATTTTTTTCGTAGCTTCAAGGTTGAAATTTCCCTATGCAACAGGTAGCAAGCTGTGCTCCGCGATAGATTTGAGAAACAGTGCCGGGAAAAAGCTTCTTTTTTACCCTTGTTTTTGTGCACACGAGAAACAAAATGCGCTCCCCAGCAGCAATGGAGGCCAGCCACGTCAAGGTGCTTTTGCGCGAGCTGTGTGCCGAAAGAACTAGTGTCACTTGAAACATTTTAACTTTTTTGCGGAATACTTCATAGCCGCCTGCTGCGAGTTTAGTATACTTCAGCAGTTGGAACAGCGTCAAGAGCGGCAAGCGCAAACTTAAGCCGGTTGTGACCCCTACAACATCCGTCCAAAGAAAATCGCGAATAATACCGAGAGAAATAGTACATAATTTAAATGTATTGTCGACATTTTGCCCAGTCATATTTGTTATTCACAATTGGTTCAGTGATTTGTTATGATAACTATTTTTGTTTCGGACGTCTAATCTAGCTCGGGCTACTCTCGGAGTTCCACTCACGCGGCCGATATGTTGAAGACGAGAAGTGAAACCTCTAAACAAAGTTCGAGTCTGAATTTGGACACGACTTTCGACATAATGCTATTCCTGTCTGCTATTACAGAGGTTTATGGAGCAGGTGTTGAGCTCCTTTAATATACGATAAAGCCTTTGCCTGGTTTGTCAAATGGTTGGTGTGCAATATTCTCTGCAGAAGAAGTGATGAACACGTCCTAATTTATTCTATTGCGGAGAAACTTTATATAGGGCTGAAAAGCTTCTTTTTTTTTTTTAAACCATGAAAGTAGTAATGTCTTTGAGGGGAGGCATGCAAATTTACAGCGGATGGAAACTGGGCTAAACCAAAACTTGATTGAAAAAAACCTTTTATAGAATTACCCCCTTCCCATGTGCTCTCGTCGATAGGTATTTGAACGCGTTGCATTCAACTTCAAAAGTAAAAAAAAAAATACGGATACATGTATTTTAGTAACTTTTGTTAACTTATTTTAAATTAAAAGTTTTATTATGTCTTTCTGTACCTTACGCATTATTGTATCTTCAAGCAAACATTCTTTATTTGAACATGAACAGTGTATTTGTGTATTTTATACGCATTCCGTTGCACCTTGATGTTTGGCTTAGTGGTTGCAGAGTTCTTTCAATTGTCATTTGTAACGCGATCTTCCTGACCAGTAACCTTCCATCTGATATACACGAATGCAGTTCATTCCATTCTATACATTTCCTTGTGTACGAGAATCCCAGTCTACATGTGTTAGGTCCGAGCCCAGCACGCACATGTTCGTCGCTTTGGAAGGCGAGATGTGTACGTGTCACACGCACGAACGCTGAAAATGGCATCGACCAGAAGCGCTTTTCAGAATTGGTCTATAGGTATTTTGCTAAATTACTTAGGCAGCGACGAGCATATTCATCCCACAAGAGTAGTCACGCGTGCTGGCGCCAGCAACATTAACTTTTCTAAAGAAATTGTAAAACAAATGGCACGTTCCTTCGGTTTATACGAGTGTGTGGGAGACATGGACCCACATTCCGAGCATTTTTCGTGGTGCTTTGGCAATTTGTCAAAAAATGTATTGCGTGACTTTTCGGCCTTTATTCGCCAGCCATCTTGTAATAAAAAGAGAACTGATTTACTACCGATATCACGAAACTAGCGAGCTGCGGCTTGAGCGTACCGAGTTGCAAAACCGATTTT